AAATTATTATTATATCTTTTTCTTATTATGATATATTATATAATATTAATATATTTTATCTATGTAGGTATAATACTATTAATTAAAATTACATTTATATTAAGAAATTTTTATTAAAATATAAAAAATAAAAAAAAAATTTTTTAAATTTTAAAAATTTTTAATCAAATAAATTATTTACCCAAAATTATTTATGCAAATTATATTTTAATTGGGTAAAATTAGAATTAAGTAAGTATTACTGTAACTTATTTTAATTTATTTAGATTATTGTCAAAATATAATAATTTTATATATAATATAAAATTTGAAAATTTTTATTCTCATATTAATATATAAACAAGTTTTACAAATAAAAATTCATTATATCATTAAGAAAATTAAAAAATTCTTTAGTATAGAATTATTAGTTTTTTTAGAAATTTAAATATTAATTGAATCTTTTTCATTTTGACAGAAATAGATAAATATTTATTATATATTACTATTTGTTATTAAGATACAAAATTAATTTATTATATAAATAAGCAAACTTTTTATCAATATATAATGTAAGATATTAACTCGTTCTATTTATTATTTATAAAAAATAAATCTAAAAATGTATTTCACGATACAATATAATATGGATTAATATGGATTCAAGTATATTATATATACATAGTACATACTACATGTATTTATGATGATATCTACAATGATTTGAATTAACTAGATTAAAAGATTAAATATGTTTTATGCTCAATCTCGATAAATTACAAATGTTTTTTTTTTCGTAGATACATTTATTAAAAAGGGTTATGATTCCTAAAAAAAACACAGAATGTTTTTTTATCTGAACTTTCATTTTCAAGATAATCGATAATGAAGATGATGTAATATTTGTATATCCTGGTTCTCATTGGATTTTTCCGTTTTCCTTCTGTATTTTTTCTCTTAATTAAATCTTATTATTTATTTTAATTATTTAATCATTAATTTTAGAATTTTCTTATATCTTTTTTTTATTAATATAAAATCAATTTAATATATATTTTTTCATCCATCATTTTCGTTTTTAATCTTTTTTTTATTCTTTTTTTTTATTCTGAAAAAAATAACGAATATTTTTTGATCGTTCCATTGGACCAATATAAAATAGAAGAAGCTCTATTTATCGTATCACATCGATTCTCGTTATCGCGGTTTTTTCGATGTCCTCGTTATCGAAATTGTGACATTTTATTTTGTTTACAATAATATTCGTTTATAGTTTTTACAAATATATAGATATTTGATTTTTAAGAAATTTATTTTAATCATCTCTCTGTTAAACATTATATTTTAAAAATTTTATCTATTTTATTTTAAAATTATATCTTTATTTTATTTATAATAATTTTATTATTATAAATAAAAAATCAATTTCAAATTTTTTTCTAACTTCTATAAATATTGGAACATTTTAAACGTTATTAAAAATATTATTCAATATTTTAACGTTATTAAAAACGTTATTAAAAATATTATTCAATATTCAATTATAAATTCAAGTTTATTATTCTATTATAAATTTATCTATTTTTCTTTTTTTTTTATATTTTTGTTCTTATCATATTTGAAATATAAAAAATGCAAATTTATCCTCTCTTTCTAGAGTTTACTGTTCACGTAACCGGAATATGCAACAAAGATATGAGAAATAAAAAGTAATTGTTTGGTCGATAACACCAGTCCAATACCTTCATATACACATTGGAGTTTCGACTTATCTTTCACATCCAAATGAATAACGTTTTATTATCTGAAAGGTGCAGTGCACATAACTACGTATCCAGAATTCATTTCAAAAGTTAGTTATCAATTGAACATAACAATACATCAGATTAAATCGTTCGAGAATGTATTTCGTTTTAAAAAAAGAAATTTTAATCATGAATTTTCGTGACGACAATTATTAAAAAAAGAAAGGAAAAATAAAACAAAAAGTATTTATGTACGAAAAGTAAAGTTAATCTTTCGATTAAACATCATATACATGTTTATACACTTTATATAAACATGATATTAAAATTATTCTGTTTTATATTATATTTAATATTGTTAAAGTTGCACGAAACTTAAAGAACACGTATTTTTAATTAATTTCGTAATGTTTATGTAAGGCCAAGCGATGGATGGCTTATATACAAGAAATAGTTCTTAAAATTTTATAGTTTTTAAAAATTTGATCTTAAGTATCAAGAGAAAATTGAAAAGTTTTCTAATATATCACTCAATAAAGCTATGATTATTATCCTCGATAATTCCTGCGTCTGATTTAGCGACCATTCACCAGAACTGAACAAAAATGTTGAAATTAAGAATAAAATTACTTCAATAATTTATTATTTAAAACATGGAATAATCACAAATAACCAAGATTATATGAAGAGCGAATCAAATATTATAGCTACAAATAATTATTATTTAAACATTTTAAATAAAGTTATTACTTAAAGTAATTTTACTCGAAATTTTTAACCAAGTTTTTTTTTCAATGGATTAGTGTCCAACTCTATGAAAGGAAATAATTCGGGATTGGCTATCTCCCAAAAGATGAGATTCTGATTTACTTGCAATTCTGAAGACACTAATAACATAGTATTGTATAATTGAACATAGTTGGTTCTCATTTAAATTCGTTTAAAACATTGCTAGATTTATACATAAATATTCGCTTAAAACATACATAAAAATTTATACATAAATATTTGCTTTCGATTTTATATAATATTCGTATTTATGCATTAAAATATCTTATAGAATAAATTCTAAGCTTAATTCAGTGATGCTGAGTTATTTTATTTTAAGAGGAAGAAAGAAAAAAAATGTTTTTAATTTTTTTTAATTATTCTAAGATGTTTTTTTTTTTAACGTGTATATATATTTCTATAGAAATAGAGATTATATAAAATTTTCTTACATTGTTTCTTCACTTGTTTTTCAAGCGAGTTCAAGGGAGAACAATTAAACAACGAAATTTATATTGATATATTTAGGACTCAGCTTTTAATTTGTCAAGGTCTTATGCCTTGGGTAAAGGTCTAAATCTTTATATTCATAAAAATATATGTCGCTATTTTGAATATACATATATTTTTAATCATTTTTAAGTAATTTAGAAGATTTTTATTTTATAAATGCATTTTATAAGCTAATTGGCAATTTAATTAATTAAGAATTAACTCTGTTATAATAGTAATATACTTTCTTTTAATTAGCTTACTTCTTCTTAACAAAAAATACAATATAAAAAAATATTAAATACCAATTACACAAAATAACAATTTAAAGCAATTGATGAAAATTCTTATAATACATTAATTATTTTATATATTTTAAATTATTGTGGAACATCAATTTTATTTAAAAAACTGAATTCCTTAAAAGATTAACTTTATTAAAGTATAAAATAACTTTTATCTGTCTTCTAATAAAAGAAGCATTTTCTCGGCTTACCAGGTGTCTCGACTTTCGGAGCACGTTCCATCTCTTCGTCCTCGTTGATCTTCATACCTAACGTCAGCTTTTTCGATTTAAAAAAGTTTGAAAGAAACGCTGCGCCCTTCCGTTTTACACGATCGTATCGTTGAGTGTTCTCCGACGACACATGTATCATAATTCGGCTGAAAATACAAGAGATATCTAATTAATCTCATTATCTTTATCATGAAAGGAAAAATATCTATAAAGAAAAAAAAATTTTTCAAATTTTTTTTACATTCCTTTTCATAATTCACCGGAAACTTATCATTTTCGAGGTATTTGGAAATATTAATTGTAATTAAATATTAAATATTAATTAGAAAAAAATTATGGATTTGGATATGTGAAAATTGATTACAAAATTTATAGAATTAAAAAATTAAAAAAATAAGAATTTGAGAATTAGAAGAATATAGAACTTGAAGTTTATTAATTAGAAAAATATAGAATAAGAAATATTGATACAGAAAATTATAAAGTTACAAATGTAAATTATGAAATGATGATATTTTGAAAATATTATCTAGAAAATCATGGAATTGGAAATTGATTAAGAAAATTATAGATTTGGAAATATAAATAACAAAACTATATATAAAACTTGAAATATTAATTAAAAAATACCCATATTAAAGATGTTGCAAAGTAAAAATTTTAAGATATTAGATCAAAAATGGATTTGAATATTTAAAAATTTATTTTTTTTCTAATTTTAAAAAGATATTAATCAAATTTAGAATATTTCATAATTTAAACAATTAACATCCGAATTATTGATCTACGATACATGGACAAAATATATTACGTAAATAATTAAAGTAATATTATAAAAATAATTAAAGATATATATAATTATGTTTCTCTCTGAAAAAATCAATAATAATTTTTAATAATTATTTTCAATGATAAGAAATATAACAAATCTGGAATCAATCAATTTAAATAATTCTAAAAATCAAAACTTAATTCTGCACTTACAAAATTAATCAACATCTATTCTAAAAATCCAAGTAACCGGTGACTTATGTACTGCATTTCTTATCAAGCCTCCAAGTCTTTCATTAAAAAAAGAAACCTCCTCATTAATGCATCCACGCACACAACATTCAACTCCAAGCAACGAACCAAGACCGCAAACCGTCATGAATCCTCGAAAACTCTCCAAAGGTATCCGTCACACGTGCCATTTTCACCGATCTTCACTTCGTTTCTACCGTTATCTATCCCATCAAAACCCATCCACTCCCTTATTCAGTCAACGACCGCGTCGCTCTGACACCTATCAACCCGAGAATCCAAACACAAAATATCCAATGCTAACGAAACAGAATCTAAAAAAAAAAAAAGAAAACCCAAAAAATCCAAAACATATCCTACGAGCTACGAAAAGAAAAATAAACAAAAAATCTGGAACACTCTTATCTCCCGATATATAAAACGAAAGTTCATTCTCGTGGATAACGAGCGATGTATTATACACGATATCTTTCTCGCCGGGTCCAGGGAGAAACATGTCTTTCACGTCATCGTTGTATATATCTGTCTCTCTCTCTCTTTCTTTCTCTCTCTCTCTCACTCACTCACTCTCTCCCCAGATATCTATCTCCTATCCCTTTACTCGGTGATAATTAATTCCCTTCTCGATTTCAATCAATTTACGGTATTCTGATCGTGGATGCAGGTGCGAACGAGTATGCTATCGGTGGTCCAGCTGGTTAATCGACGGTCGCGCATCAGAGGATCCGTTCACGATCCAACGAGATCGCATTGCCAACTGCAGCTGCGAGAGAGGGTGTGCTCCGCTGCTGTGCTCCTCGTAGGATTTTGCGCAGCTGCAAGTGGCCGGAGACTTACGTATATGTGTATATGCGTGCGTGCGCGCGCGCGCGCGCGGGTGTGTGTGTGTGTATATGGGGGGTGAGAGATCGTGGGGGATGAGAGCTTGCGTGGTGGAAAGGAATAAGAAGGAACGGCGAGAAACAGCGGAGGACAGTAGCGCGAGGCGAGGCCAACGCGGAGTGTTTTAAAAGTGGCGCGACGTAAGACCTCTCTCACGACCAAGCTTGCTTCCCTTTTCGATCTGTCGGAGCTTCGTGACCCACATATCTTCCGGCCTTTCCTAGAGACGATGCAGCACCTTGATGGAGGAATTTTTGCTTGGTGAATGGGGGTGGAGTGGGATCTCTTCATCTTAGGATTTTGGGTATACAGGGTGATAACTTCATCGTCCGGAAATTATATTTATGTTTGTTTTCGATTACATTGAAAAAATTAAATGTTTTGCATAAATGTTGATTTTATATTTGATGAAGGATTTCATTGTTTTACGGGAAATTTTATGTACGAATTATCGGTGCAGGTATTTTCTATCTGAGAAAGTATAAGTTATTTTATAATGAAGAAAAATCGTTAGAAGATTAGTTTTGTAACTTGAATTTAAAATTTGTATTAAATTTATTATGCGAAGGATAAGAAATATGGGAAATTTGATGAATTTTTGTATATAAATATAATTTTTTTTATATAAAGTAATGAGATGTATTAATTAGTGCGTTAAATTATATGATTTCATATAAAAATTAAAGGTCATTTTTATATGATCCCTTGCGTATTGATCTATGAAAAAACTAATTATATAAAAATATCTATCCTTATATAGAAAGAATGCAATTTTTATTTGATAATATTTATTTATAATATTTGTTAATATTAAAGCTAGATTGATTTTCCTGTATATATGTAATGGATTGTATATAAAAAATTCAAATTAAATATAAAGGATTAAAAGGAATTTGATTTTGTTTGAAATAGATATCCTTTTGATTTATATGTACAATACATTATTTCATATTATACACATCATGATTTTCAAATAACTTTAAAGTTTATCTTAAGAAAAAAAATATATAATTATATTTGATTTTATAAAAAAATAAAAAATATATGTTGCAATTGATAAAAATTTTGGGAAAAAATTACTATTTTTGGAATATTAGCAAAAATTAACAATAATTAATAATAATAAAAATTCTTTTGCATTTATCTGATAAATTATTTAATATAATAGGCAATTTTTCGACCAAATTCAAATTCGAAACAACGTCAGAAATCTGTTCATTATTAAACAACATTATTTTATAATACTTGTATTAATTTGTCGCATTCATTTTTTTATATAAATAGATGAAATTTGTAAAAGAAATGTAAATTGTGATTAATCTTTTTCTACATTATTATTCTAATTCCTACATTATTATGAAAAAGATACTTTATAAAAGATACTTTATATGGATAAGTATGATAAAATTTACATAAATTGCATCAATCTTAAGAAAATTACATAAATTACATCAATATTATTAAAAATAATGGGATACATTATTAATTTATCGCATATTATATATATTTTTATATATATTTTTATAAAATTGAAGAATTTATAATAATAATGATGTTATATCGATGATATATCATAGATTACAATTAAAATATTATAAATTGGAATTTATTTTAATTTTAAATTTCATTTTAATTTATAAAATTGATGATTATATAAATAAATCAGGAATTATTGCTTAATGACTGGAGAGAAAGTAGAATTTTGGAAATAATAATTCGAATTGGAATTTTTTATCTTAAAATTTTATGATATAATATATATAATATTAAGTTTACTTATTAATGATTGGAATTGAAGATTAAAAAAAATTATAATAATGATCAATGGAATCATATTGATGATTGAAGCACTATTAATTAAATTTTTAATTTATGAGATTAATGATTAAACATAATATTTATAATTAATTACTAAAACATTATGATAAAAACATCATATTATATTAAAATTAGATATGAAATAAATTTTTATTTTTATTTCAATTTTAATTCATGTGAATAAAAATATAAACTATTATTTAATTAAATAATATAGAATCACACTAATACTATGATTAATACAGTAAAAAGAAGAATTATTGTTTGAAATAAATTTCTAAAACAATAAAATTAAAAATAAATTAAAATTTGTTAAATTTGATTTAATATCGATGAAAAATATGAGATTTTTATATCTTATAATAAAAAAAGAAATATTGTGTAAATATTATATTAATTACAGTAACAAAAACTGAGATCAAATATTGAAGAAATATATAGGTAATTATAAAAAGATTATTTAAAGTTTTGAATATACTACATATTATATTTACAAAATAAGAAAAAAACTAATATAAATATGATATCATAATGAAAAGGATTGGTTAAATATTGAAAAATATAGAGATTATGCAAAGAATTGAAAAAAATATGATTATGAATATTTATTATTATAAAATAATATATATATTATAATATATATATTATAAAATAGTTGATTAAATCATTTAAACGAATTTTATATTTTGCATCCTTAATAGATAGTAAAAAAATATAAATTTTCCAAGAATTATTAATCATAATCTCCACATATTTAGAGATACAAATTTTAGAGATTCTAATTATCATTCTTAAAAAATTTTATATAATAAGTTCTATCTATAATAAATTTAAATATTTATATTGATATTTGTATCGAAAATATCGAAAGAAAATTTTTCACAATAATATCTTATTATAATCTTATATTCTACAACAATATTTTTAAATTATATATATATTTCAATTTTTATGTATTTCAAATCTAACAAATGTAGTATCCAATTAAAGAATTGTCTATCTAACTAACCCAATAAAATCATCTATCTTAAGTATATCAAAATTTCCAAAACTCAATTGACCAAAATTTCCAGAAAAAAAAGAAGAAAGATCAAGATAAGTTAAAGAAAATCAATATGTATCTTAATATGTTTATTTCAAGAAAATCCTACTTCATTTAAAAAAAACTCTATTTCAATCATATTATATTAAATTAGATATCACATTCTAATTAAAAAATCTCAAAAGGAAAAAAAAAACATGTATTTATATATCTACAAATATATTTCTGCCTCAATACAAAATCCTTGAACTTTTTTAAAAGCACAAATTACACAAATCTAAACCATGCATCCAATATCATACCCAACAACAAAACTGTATTTCTGGTTCACTTTTCCGACCAGACCACCATTCTGACCTATATTTCCTAAACTCCATTATTGCCAAATATCATCTAACTATTATTCAAAACCAATCAATACCACAATTAATCTTTATTAAGTTTTCATATCTACGGCATCCATTTATAATATATCTACTTATATAAATTATAAGTTAAATTGTAAGTTTTCAAAACGAGTCAAATTTTAAGTTATGGTCTTCAATATTCAGTCAAATTTCAAGCATAATCATAAGTTCCAGTGTCTACAATATTCGAAATCATTCTCTCCAATCTTCAATTAAAATTTAATACCATTCACCAAGTTCATATATACAATATCTACTCGAATTATAAATTTAAAAATTTTTGCCCTAAATTATTATATTTCTTTAAATTATTATATCAAAATTATAATATTTATTCTAATTTAATTTCTATAACTATATATATTGATACATTTTCATATTTCACTCTTTGTTTAAATCATCATTCTTAATATTCAATCATAATTTAATCATAATCCACCAAATATTTGTATTTATTCAATTTATAAATTTCTAAAATTATCGTTTCCATTGTTTGATTAAGCTTTAATATCTATCAAATTTTCAAATCCAAAATTCTACAATATTCGAATCATAAATTTCCAAAATTATTTTCTCATGTAGGATTCGATTACATGTATCCTTTTCCTAAATTATAATTGTTTTTAATTTTTAATTAAAAAATCATTATTTACTAAGCTTTCACATTATTTGATTTAATCAAATAATCAAATCATAAATTTTTAGAACTATTTTCCTATCATCACTAACGTTCAAAAATCAAAGATAAAAAATCATTGAGTTATTTATGCAAAAGCTTTCATATTTATAATATTCACTCAAATCATAAATGGATTTAATTTGAAAATTTTGATTTTTAAACTCAATAAAATTTTTAGATTTGAGTTTTTAAATTTTAAATTCATATTTATTTTCAGAATATAGAAAAATTACTATCTATTCTTTCTCTAAGTCATCGATTTTAAAGTTCAATTAAATCTTAATCATTATTTATACAATTGTTCAAAATATTTATTCTAAATATAAATTTTAAGAACTATATAGATATATTTTAAGAACTATATATATAACGATATACATCGTTATATCTACTCGTTTTCTAAATTATCATTTTTAACTTCGATCAATTATTATCCCCATATTTTTATATATCATAATATCTATTCATAATAAATTTCTAAAAATTCTATCTTCCTAGTTTTTAAATATTGTGTTTAATGTTTTCAAAACTATTACTATCTATTAAATTTTAATATCCAAAATAAATCATTCTCCTATCCTTCATGCATCCATTCTAAATCATTATTTCTAATTAAATCTCAATCACGTTTTACGAAACTCGTATATTTAATTGAATGATAAATTTCTAAAACCAATTTCGCTTTAAATACTATTTCCAATGTTCAATTCAATCATTCAATCTACCAAATTCTCATATTCTATCTTCTCATGCATCACATTCTTATGTATCCATTCTAACTCTAATTTATCGTCTACATAGTCTATAAAGTACAATTAAACCTCAATTAATATCTACCAAGTTTCCATGTCCATGGAATCATAAATTTTCAAAACTATCTTTCCTTTAAATATTATCTCCAACGTTCAATTCAATCATTCAAAACTCAGTTACCATCCACTAAACTCTCATATTCACAATATCCATTCAAATCACAAAACCTAAAACTACATTGTACTATGTATTTTCTCTCTCTTTAATTCATCAAAATTTAATTAAAGCTGAATTACTATATATCAAATTTCCATGTTCACTCGAATCATAAATTTCCAAAACCACTTTCTCTCTAAATATTATCTAACGTGCAACTCAATAAAAATTCAATTATTATTCACCAAATTCTCATATTCATAATATTTACTCGAATTGAAATTTCTAAAACTATATTCCTATCCATTTTCTCTCTAACTCACCATAGTCCACAAAGTTTAATTAAACCTCAATCACTATTTACCAAGTTTTCATATCTACTCGAAATCATAAATTTCCAAAATCACGTTCCCATGTATCTACTCCTTTTCCCCTCAAGTTATCATCTACATGGTCCACGAAGTTCAATTCAACCTCAATCACTATCTATACTAAATTTTCACGTCTACTCGAATCATAAATTCCCAAAACCACGTATCCACCATATATCCACCCTCCTCCCCTCCCAAGTCATCGTCCTCAACGTTCGATCAAACGTTTCCATCCAGCTCGTTGTACGCAGACACGCGGACTCCATTCGTGGGATCGTGTCCACGAGGCTTTCAGACACGCGATGAAACTTGGTGTTTTTCCACGGGGAACATCCCGGTGTCGGATCGATCGTCCTCCACCGCCCATGGGACGTTGAATCGGGGACGGTGTACGCGTGGCCAACCCTCCCCCTCACCCGACACAACCCGCCCCAACACAACCCTAGAGGTACTTACTTCCCGGCGCGCCAGGCTCATCTTCTCGGCAACAATCCTCCAACGATGAACACGAGCACTGGGTCGCGTCCACACCGCGACTACCGCGTCCCTGTGCGCCGCCCTACGAAGTGGCGCGAGTGGCGACGCCCTTGGACACGCGCACTAACACGGATAACCCTTTTCCTTCCCCGATCTTGGTTGGATTAGGGTTCGATTGGGATTGTGTTCCAAGAGTCTCGTGGGCGAGTACCCGTGGGATCGTTTTTCAGCCTTTATGAAAATATATCTTGCCACTGCATGCACCTGCTTCTAAGTGGAGACGTGGAGGCACTTAACGATTCTTTTATGCCTGTGAAAAGATTTTTAAAGTTAGGTGGGTTGTTAATTATTGGTTGATAGAAATGTTTGTAAATTAAGTTTTTATAATTTCTTCTTTTTTTAAAGAAAGCTTTAAAGAAATTTGTTATTAAATTTTGCATTAATAGATTTAGATCTTATTGTTAGTTGGTGAAGTGTTAATATTCGTGATTTATATATTCTAAAGAATTTAGAATATATTCTAAAGAAATATATTCTAAAGAACTTTATGCTTTTGAATAGGGTCGATTCTGGAGAACAAATGCAAAGATTAAAATACAATGATGTCGGTTAAAGTTTATTAAATTTTAAGCGATTTAAATTTACGATAGGTGAAAAGAGACACAGATAGAGGGATTATTCTATCTTTATCACATTGCCTCGATCCTTATGACATTTTAAAACAGATTTTTCGGAGGTTCTTCGAATATTAATATTTTATAGTATTATTTAAAATCTTAGCAAAGTTTAGATTTTATTATTATGTTTTGAAAAATTTTTTAGAAATATTTTATATTATTGAGTTTAAAATTATATTTCCTTTTTATTGTCCTTTATAAAAGTTTGAAATATTTTTAATAGAAATTAAAAAAATAAATTAAACAATATTACGAAATTTTTTTTGTATCTTAAAATGTATCTTATAAAAAATTTAATTTATGTTTTAAGAATTTTTCAATATTTTTAAATTGAAACTTTTTTTAGGTTTTGGAAATATTTTTTTATGGATTATCAATATTATTCAATATTATTATTCGATAATTTTATTCGATTTAATTTTTTATATTGACTATAATTAGAATATTAAAAAATCCATAATAAAAAAAATTTCCTAAAAAATTTTAATTTATTATTATTGTTACATATTTATATTAATATATAATATAATATAATATATATTTTAATTAATTTTTAATTATTAGAAAGTTATTTCATTTCAAGTCATTCAAATAATTATCTTCTAAACTTTTCATTTTTGATAAAATGAATTTATATTTTTATTTAGATAGATATGTAGCCCAGTAATCAATTGAATTTATAATAAGTTAATTTTCTAAAATTATTCAATTGAATCAAGATCATTTATTATTGATATTCAAAATTTATCTTCGTTGAATGTTGCTTAGATTTCGTTTACTGAAATTTATTTCGTCGTTTGGTTATAAACATAACTCGAAGTCATATTAATGATGTGATTTACGGTTACTTTTGTTTACAAGCACGAATACTTGCTATTGTGTAGATATCCTCAGTTTGTTACAAGTGCTTCGAATTAGTATCAATTTATTTAGCAGTACGCATTCTTCGACAAGTTTACTTTATAATATGATAATATATTTTTATATTTCTATATGTGATATTTATATATAATGTGATATTTCTAAAGACCATTATTTAAAATATTTTGTAAAAGGTAAGTAATTTTAAAATTAAAAAAATTATAAAAAAAAATTAGTAGAAACACAAAAAATAAAATATATATAAAAAGAATGTATATATATAATATTAATTTTATAAACAATATAATTTTTATATATCTTTTTATGTGTACATATAAATATAAATAAATAAATATATATAAATAAATAAATATATATATATATATATATATGTACATATATTTTAACATATTTATCTAGATTAATATATTCGAATATTATTAATACTATTATGTATTATTAATAATATTCAAGTAATAAAAGTTTTATTTTTAATTAATTTTGTATATACATTTTTAGAATTTTAATTCTTGGAAATTATAATGTTATGAAAAATAATATCAATCAAATATCAATTTACAATTCTACAAAATTTATTGAATTTATAGATTTT